CTCTAAAGAATCCTGGATCGGCCACATCTTTACTGCAATTTCTCATACTCATGACACATGAACAGTAGAAATACGTTGAATTACGGGGCATTGTAAAAGAAGAGTATTGGGTTAGGTACATTCAGCTATGTATTGTCATCCCACTCATTCTAATGATACTATAGCCGAGTTGTGGAAATGCRTTTGATTTAGGGGCTATTAGGAGGGACACTTCATCTGCCAGTTGAAGCTTCAGCGCTTCTAGACTAATGTTTATCAACAATGAAAGAACAAAACCTCTAACATCATAGTCAAAATTCATTCATGAAGCATGGCAAGAATTTTTTTATGGAAGGTGATACCATTTATTAGGATGGTTTTTTGTCTTATTWTCTTATTATAACTTAGTCTAGAGCGAGAACTGTTATTGTGCATTAAYAAGTGATTAAAGAGTATATGACTAGACGAATAAGCACATGTTTTAAAGGTTTTAACGTGTTGGCAAAGTGGTAAGATCAAAGTGATTAAAGCACGTGTTTAAAGAGACGTACAGTGAGCCGTCAGAGCTTTTGATTTATAAAAATTAAAGTTCTACTTTAAAAAATATATATATATATATATATTCTTAAACTCATTAATAATTCATGAAGGAAACACAATAGGAATTATGGCCATGAAGTAGGTTTTGTATCTGATATAGATTCTTCTTCATTTGCATAAACTTTAACTTGGATTTTCTCTATCAAACTAGGTTCATTTTGTAAATAATTCGGTACGATATGAGAACCTACATCATGAGTTTTTTAAGCCGTTTAATAAACGAGCAGGAGTGTTTTATTGGGTCTAAAACCACTCGGCTGCGCCGATAAAACACTCCTGCTCGTTGGCCTCGTTTATTAAACATTACATATATACAGCCATTTCCAAARTTATGGCCGTTTCAAATATAGATACAAGTATATCAATAGTATAACAGACACGGTRGGATATATTTCTTGATAYTTCTTTCAGAAAGCCCTAGTGATAGGCAACCCGAAAAAAATATCAGGGATGATATACAATAATTTTTGATATGCTTTTGATATACTTGTTTATATATTGGTAGCGGCCATAATTTTTGCATATATGTATCGCTACCACAATCACAAACAAACATCGGCACACATAAAAAAGCCACATTAAAAGAAAAATATATACGTCGACCGCAAACACAAACAAAAATTGCATACATAGTAAAACGAAAAGCAAAAAGCGTGCTTTCTCTACATCTTCTCGTTGTTTTAAGTAAAAAACTATCATTTTTTAAGACTTGTGGCAGAGTTGATTTGTTTCATCTGCTACGTGGTTTCCCCACGTTAATTCATTGGTAGCTTTCTTTGTGGCTTAGTTTCGTGTCACTATAGATTTGCACTTAAAGGGTCACGTGATTGTTTCCCGCCATTTTAGGTCGACGTGTYGCCTAAACACTTTCAGTCAGTTTTGCTACATTTGTTACACGACACCACGTGACCTGCCAACTGTTCCCAGTTCTTTGTTCAAATTGTGTCTAACACTCTACGTGCTAAAACTAAAACAATTCTCCCACTAAAATTGGCAAAACATCTTACAGGTTATAATGTATAACCTTGACCGTGGAAGCGACTCGGATCAATTATGATCAATAGAAAAACATCTCAGCATATTTTATACTCAAAACGATTTGTAATCACTGCGCATGACTGTAGAAGCGAGAATGGTCAACTATGGTCGCTAGAAACACATCTAAACGTGTGGCGAGATATCAGTACAGACGAAAGACACAATGGATGGTCAAGTGATAATGTTTCACGCAAAAGTTTGACGCTTCTTTTAACCTGGTGGTGAAAAGTGATGTTGAAGTATTATTAATTACGTATTATTAGAAGAATGGGGTTTTAGCATGGTATTGGCTGGCTTGTCAGGCATGCATGTCGTAAAATATTACTAGGTATAGTTATTAACATACCGTWAGTAGGATAAAGTCATATGTAGTATAGTATTGGTTAGGTATCCATTATTAGTAGGATAGAGTATGATATTAACTGGCTTGTTAGTGGTATAGTATTGGTGAGGTATGGTTAGCAATCTACTATTAGTAGGATAGAGTATGATATTAACTGGCTTGTTATGTCGTATAGTATTGGTTAGGTATAGTAGCATTCTACTATTAGTAGGATAGAGTATGATATTAACTGGCTTGTTATGTCGTATAGTATTAGTGAGGTATGGTTAGCAATCTACTATTAGTAGGATAG